GTATGTAGGACCCACAAATAGATTTTTTGTAACTGCTCCTGGCCAAGACATAGTTTGGCACATAACCCGACCATAAACTGTAACTTGTTGTTTTTACACTTCGGTGTTGTATATATTATACAAATGAGATAAGACGTGTTAAAGGCTTTAGAGGTGCTGATAGATTTTCTTTTCACCTTTGGACAGAACTAGGCTAGCTGTTCTCTGCAGCTTTCAGTCGGTGTCCTGGCCAGTGGTATCAATCTTGTCATCCAACATTTTTCGGTTACATGAGAATGGATAAATACTCTTAACCCAAATGAAATCAAGCAACTTCCCTTTAGCAATCTTGAAGTTTGTGTACCTAACGGGTCCACAAACCTAACCTCTGACCTTGCAGCACTGGCATCCAAGAACAGTGGTTCACAGTTGGGGTTAGAAACCCCAGAATGGGCTGGAAGGTAAATCTCAGGAGCTGTGAGATAAATAACAGAATAGTGCAACCTGTGATGAAGGGCTGAAAATTGACTGATACAAGAAAATACTGTCCAAGAGCATCAGGTCATTATGTATTGCCGATTGTACCAATTCTGTCTTTTCTGCACATTCATCAGTTCTGCAGGCTTGCTTGGCTGCCAGCAGTGCAGCTGTTAGACAACACTAAAACACATATAAATCAATTGTCTGTGCATACAAACACAGGCATGAATGCAGTTACAGTTTCACTTTATCATGCTTTCAACCCTGCAAAAGGGCTGTTTAAAATCCTCTAAGCTGAGTTTTGATTTCTTTTCAAATGGTTGAGCTGGTATGTATAACAGCCTTGGGGGTTTGTTCCCGTGTCTACACAGGACAAATTTCTTCCTCCCTTTTTTTAGACCTATTGTACGGGCACTTAAAGTAGTTATTAACCTTAACATGAGTTCTGTCCCTGCTTTCCTGAAAATCACGTGGTTCCCCAGACTTGTTTGCTCACATTTCTGCCTTTTCCACAGTGTGAGAAATGTTTTCAGGGAGGGTTTGTTGTGCCAGCACAGGATGTGGTTGTGAGGAGCTAATGCATCCATGGATCAGGCCACAGTAAAGAATATCGTGTATACATTGTTGTATTAAGACATGAAAGTCTCTTTTTGTAGAATATATTTAATATATTTAATTAACAATGAACTCAATGACTACAGAAACTGTGCAAGGGATAGATAAATTCACACAGGCTTATCATCCACCAGTGCAGCTGTATGCAGCTTTTCATCCTCTTGACTTATTTTTTGGTTTTACTGCACTTTACTGAGGTTGAGCATTTGTGCTCTTATCGGCCCTGTTTCTGCCATCAGCAGGCACCTATTTCAGCAAACAAGTGCTGATAAACCCACTGTATGCTACCTGCCCAGCAAACAACATACAGACAAAGTTAGCAACTAGCTGGATCTTTAGCATATAGTGGTGCCATGCCATTGTTCCGAAGCTTAGGCCCAGCTAAAGTCAGTGTCATGTTGTGCCTCACCTAGATGGGAAAAGTTCACAGTGGACCTGCTTGTGTATTATTTGATTTAGTGTGATGCTAGGTTGCAACCATATTTTCTTAGCAATGGGCCTTCCTTTGACATTCAAAAATTTCACTTTCATGGTGACACTAGAGGAAAACTTAGGGGGGCACTATAGGCAGTAGGACTAATCATATGGGGATCATGAACGTCTTTACAAAATTTCATGGTTATCCACCAAATAGTTGTTGAGATAAAAAGTGGTGGACGGACGGACATTACCATCCTGAGAGCCCAGGCACTAGTATGGCTAAAATGCCCAATAATTAGAGTTTTTACATTGCCCAGTGGACCTTTTAAGGCTTTTTTGGGGCTGACTTATATAAATATGTACCAATCTGTCTATCTTAACCTTCATTCCTTCCACAGAATTGATCTCAGGTTTGATATCTCAGTCGAGGGGCAGGTAGTTTACCACATTTCTCTTTGTCACAGAAAAGTAAGATGGTGGTTTGTGATATACATATGGAGATTTATGGGAATGAATTCATTTGGGATTTGGGTAGTGAAGATTCAGTGGAAACACAACAAATCCACTGCGTTCACTCTCCTGAAGGATTATGATAATTGGTCATTTTAATCTTTCCATGCTCCTGCAAAGAAAGTTTAAGTTATTGAACCTGCTTTGATCCAAACATTCACTTAGTTTCACTCTGACGCATCAAGTTTCACACCGCTACCCTCCATCTACAATAAGTCTACAATCGCATTGCCTCATGTAGTATGTTTACATAACTGACTGTTCAGGTAGCATCTGATTGCACCCCTGTGGCAGTGTCTGGACTAAATTTGTATCTAGATATTTGTATCAGCAGGATGAAGGATGTTTTAAAGTACTTAACTCTGTCATGCAATCCAGTTTTAGAAGTATTGTTTTAACGATATTCATATCTGGCAAAGGGTTAGTTTTGTAATATAATATCTCTAAATATTTCTGTCCTGATTTTACCACATGGATGGCGTCAACATTTCAGCCAGACAGAGCCTTTTTATAATTATTGCTTGATTGCCGTTTTACTAGGATGTGCAAGTTAACGTCTCAGCAGTATTTACAATAGAAACCTCTAGTGGTTAGAGGGACTTTTTTTCTGTTGTTTACTTCTTCACCACTAATTTTTCCAGATAAATGATTGCAATATGTTGCTGAGCTAACTATATCGTTCTTTGAGTCAAGCGTAGTTTGTGAGTCATTTCTCTATTTCTCCTTCTCTTTTAAATTCAGCTTCCCCATGAACATAATGTGACCATTATAACCAACAACATAACATGACCATTAGCCTACCAAACATAACTGATCATAGAAAATTAATGGCGAAGAAAATGACATAAAATGGCATTTTTTTTTACTGTAACGGACCACCAGTGTGTAGCATTTAGTGGCATCTAGTGGTGAAGTTTCAGATTGCAGCTAACTGAAAACCGCTCGTGTCTGTATTTGATGTGTGTGAAGTGTGTAGGATAAACTATGGTGGCTGCGGAACTTGCAAAAGGCCCAATCTACAGCCAGTGTTGGGTGTCTCTGGGCTACTGTTTAAACATGGCGGTTGAACATGCAGGACTCATGTGTACATAAAAAAGGCTCATTCTAAGGAAACGAAAACACAATGATTCCAATATTTAGATGATTATACAGCAATGAAAACATACCTATTAGTATTACATTCCATTTCTACCAGTAGATCCTCCTAAATGTTACACACTGGACCTTTAAATGGTCCAAACCCAACTAAAAATATTGAAGAAAGGGACATGGCACTCAGTAGTGAGAGTTTTTTTACACTGCTTGGGGACTTTTATCCTGTAAATCCAGTATTTTCTGTTTGTTGGTAAAATATGCTATAAAGCTGGAAGAGTGAAAGTGTAGAGTTGGGTGATTCTGCCTTTCATATAACACAGTCACTGATGCATTAGTATTATTAAGATAGTGATTATAGCTGCTTTAAAGCACAAACATGAGATTGATATCGATCTTCTCTCTTTAGGCTCCCTAAGAACCCATATATTTCCCAAAATATCAAACAATTAGGCTATGAATTTATCTTGGACCACCGCATTTTGTTTCTAGAAACAATGGAAAGACAGAATTTTCTGAAATAAGTTTATCCTCACATGTCCTGCCTCAAACGTTGTTAAATAATGCTTGCATAAGTCTTGGCAAAATCTATGCTTCTGGCGGGAAAAGTTTGTCTCCTGTTGCTCAACTACTCCCACACTCACAGATTGTAATCTAACACTTAGATGCATGCACACACATGCGAAATTCTGACACACACACCCCCTTCACACAGACTTGTGAGATGTGTCTGTATACAAGAAAAATCCCCAAACCCAACTGTCACCACATTGATATCATCCTGTGAAATGTAGGATTCTTCTGGGAAAGATTGATAAAATTTAAGATAGATATCTTGGTTTACGGTACGAACAACCTTCCACTTCCTTCCTTGTGAATTTATTCCTCTCCTGATGATAAAGGTGATCACTCAGAACAATGTCCGCTCAAAGCATAACAGAGCCACTGGATCTCCTCACAGTGGGGTCAAGCATTCGGGACTATACCATTCTCTTGGTGTCCACACATGCATTCGCCCAGTTGTTGAGAATGTGATGATGGCTGACTCATCTGACCACATCACTTTGGTCCAGATCTCTGTAGACCAGAGTCTATGGTCTTTGCACCACTGAACTCTCAAATTTGCATTCATCTTCAGAATGAGGGGTTTATGCACTGCAACCTTGCTATCGTATCAACTGTGCCTGCTCAGCACTTTATAAATACCACACAGAGCATGATGTTAACTATTTCATTGTACCATGCAGTGGCCCTGTGTGAAAGCATCTGCATCCGTTATGTTTCTCCACTAATTGATTGACGGTTCTCCTTTAATCTGTCACCCGTATTGTATTTAGATTGTTATCAACTGCTACAGATTCCATATTATGCACTACTTGCACCCATTAGGCTACTTGTCACTGCCACTCGTAGAGTAAATAAGAAATCAATGTGCTTTACTTTTTATTTTGCACTAGCAGGTTATTATATAGCATGGGCACCAAGTGGCATCAATCATTCTCACTGACAACAAGACACTTTTGAGGGAAACAGAGTCTTTTAATGGTTTGAAAAAAAAATGGAAATATAAAGATTTTGAATGTTGGCACAAAATATTGGTAGCTAATGCACAGTAGAAAAAAAAATGCAGTATTTGTTGATTCGTGCTTGTGCTAATGAATGGACTGTCTCATTGTATAGACTGTATGAAGCACGGAGGGAAGGTATCTGTCAGACAAACGCCAGGATAAAGATCTGCTTAAGAGAAACATCAGAAAAAGCATACAGGAGGATTTTGGCAAGGACTAAAAGAGAGAGGAGGAGTGAAGAGGTAAGTGACCAGGCACGTGTGAGTCTGGTGCCAACTTTCCCTGATTTCCAGTCAATGAGCACAGATCACACTTTTACTTTCTCTTCTTCAGCCATAAATACACACGCATGCTCTTCACCTCACTGCAACACCTTAACACACCTGACTGCAACAGACTCTCTGAAGCCAGAGCTCACACCTACGAAACAGAGACATGGCCTCTCGAGTTGCAGCTCTGCTATTGCTGGGTGTCTTCTGTGTTGGGTTTGCATCAGGTAAGACATACTACTATTCATTGCAGTCAAACAGATTCATATTTCAGAATTATTTCAGTACAGGTGCAAGGTGCATGTGATCTTCCAGACTGAAACAGTCAAAACCAAACCACATTTGAAATCTAAGCTCAGTCAGGAAGTGACCTTTTCACCTGCTGGGCATTTCAGCTTTTTAGGTTTCATTGATAAATCTACCTGTCTAACCCATTCTACATTTTAGGATATTTTTTTTACCCATACTAATAACTTTTTTTCTTCATCCTCCTGCAGGTGAGATGGCGGTGGACTGCTGTCTGAGTGTCGTCAGTAAGCATTTGCCCATCAAAGTCATCGTAAACTACAAAATTCAGGAGGCTGGGAAAGGCTGCGATATCAGTGCTACCACGTAAGTGTAAATTCTTGACATATATAAATCAGGCAAAAGAAAGTTATTTTCTCAGGTCCTTTGCTGAATGGTTACAGGAGCTGGTTCATTTTATTTTTGCAGCATCCTAATTTGCAGTCAGGTTAATGAAAGTGGATTTTTTCACCTCTGTAGTCTGCAGCTTAATCTCACTTCTGTGTTTCTCATCATCTTTTTCAGGTTCATAACAAAGGCTGGAAGAAAACTGTGTCTCCCCCACCCCGACGATGAAGAATGGGTGAGAAATCACATTGCTGCTCTGGACAAGAGAAACCCGAGACAGCAATAAGTCAAGTAAGTAAAAAAAGCTTGTATTTTCCCCTTTTTCGCCTGAGCTTTCAAAAGCTCCCTTGCTCCTTTTTTTTCTTACAATATTGTGGAAATGATTCCCAACATGTTTCACTTTAAAAGTTTCAACCTTGCACTCACTTATCTCTGCACTTCCTTTTTGCAGGTGTAAAGAGGAGTGAAAAAAAGGGAAAAGATGGCTGAAGATCAAGACAGACCGACTCTAAACTGAGAGCTGAAGAAGCCTGAACCCCTTCCATTTCTGCTCAGAGCCCATGTTGTACTGTAGAAGATCAAAATAGTTTGAGAAAATCAAACCCGTAAGATCACTGAAGAATCATCACTTCATCTGAATTATGATGATTTATTTTATGAGCCGTCATGCCAGTGAATCATAGTGTAAGTATAAGTGGCTAAATATACAGTTCTGTATGTGTTTCTTTTGTGGTGGTGTAAAAAACTCTTTCCTTTTCTTTATTATTCCTAATGAGAAAAAGATTTTGCCTTGACAGTGACAATGAAATCAATCCTGTTGTTTGTTTGTTTTGTTTTTGTTTTTATCATAAGACTGTGAGGCGCTTGTGGAACATTTCACTTTGACAATCTGTGTTTATCTTTTATGATACAATTTTAGAGCTGTTTTAATCAAAACTTGTTCAGTGAAATGTTGATTTAAGTATGTGAAAACTATTGTTGAGACTTTCTCTAAAATAAAGTTTGATATTATTTTTTAAATCATTCTGTTGCTGCCTTTCATTTTTACGGAGCCCCTAAAGGGACATGGAAAAAAAAAAAAGAAAAGAAACCTTTCCTGCTCAGGAGAAAGTGTGAGCACAAGATAGTATCTCATGTGCAGGAGATACTATCTCATGGGCACAAGATACATATCCCCTGCTCACACTCAGTTGCTTTCACCAGCCGGTGGTTGGTTGTTGCCGGTTGTACAAATATGGACTTTTATTGTTGAATTTCTCCAAATTATGGAATATAATAATTATTAAATATAATATATTCTCATCATTATGGTAATTGCGGAGAAACAGCGTATTCACTTCCGGTTTTCAAAATAAAGGTATTAAGAACAGTAAGCTATAATTCGAACCTTCATTTAAAATAAAATAAAATTAAAGTGTTTCATGACCATGATAATTAAAAATATACTTAATATCAAGCATTTTTACTGTACCAATTTGGAGAAATTCAACAATAAAAATCCATTTGTACAACCAACAACAGAAGCAACTGCGCATGAGCGCGTGTTGTGGTGTGGTGTCTAAAGGTTGATATTTAATTTAATTTTTTTTGTTTAATAATTATTATATGCCATAATTTGGAGAAATTCAACAATAAAAGTCCATATTTGTACAACCAACAACCAACGACCGCCTGGTGAAAGCAACTGCGCATGAGCGGTGTTGTGGCTAATCAACACATGGCTCATTTGAATATTAAAATTAAACATGTGTCTGGCTTAAGGCTGAGCCTGTATCTAGTGGCACAAGATCCGTATCTCCTGAGCACGAGATAGAGAAATAGTATCTAGTGCTCACTAGATAGTATCTTGTGCTCTCGAGATACAGAAACATTTCATATTTTTTTCCCCCCCCTTTAGGGGCTCCGTACATTTTAACTCAAACATATCACATGGAAAATGGAAATGCATTTTCATGAATTAATGACCTTGCATGCACTTTTTTGGCTACACTCAATTATCATAATCTATACTCTTTTAGTCAAAGACACACAACACATCTGGAAGAATAAAATAAAAACAAATCTGCACCACATAACAATAAATTAAAATAAAAAAATTGTAATAATCAAAAATGTTGTGGAAAATAAAACTACAAAAGGATAGGTCCAAGGAATGGACGATACAAAAAGCAGTTGTAGAGTTATGAACATTAAACCTTGTACTGAGTGGCATGAGCAAATCAACAAAGTAGTAGTGAAAAGTGTGATGTAATAACAATCACTCTGTACACCTGTATGTAAATGATGGGATGTTACTCATCAGCTGGCAGTCAAGCAGCTGATGCAAATCACTGGCGGTGAAGCGTGAACGAAGCCGATGATACCGATCAGCTGTTCCAAGCATGAACTAACACTATGCTCAATTTCCGATGGCTTCCAGGAAAGTTCAGTGCACCAAGAATCACATTCAAATCTTACTGAATTACAACAGACAAAGAACAAACATACTCGCCAATATGAAAACACATTGTGGGAAATGAACATTTTTAGATTAGTAATCAGTGTATTGATGTGGTGAAGCCTATGTGATTCTCTGTGTTCTATATTATGAGGAAGTCAACTGAGAGCTACACTGTAACTATAAATGGCCATCATACTGAGGAAGGCCTAAGGTATAGATTGAATCAACTTTGTCAGAAGGTCAGCAACTGTTCTTCAGTTTACCTCATGATATATAAGGCCAGGCACTCTGAAAGTCCTTTCAGAGTAAAAAGCTATCCCTTGGTGTGTAGCCAGTAGTTCCACTAATATGCTTTTGAAAAAAGCAAAATAAAAACTTGACAGAACAATTTCACCTGAAGGTCCACTTGATTATTCTGGAGCTTTCGTCAATCTCACATGATCTTCAACAGCAGAGAAAGTTTTCTCACTTGTCTCAGAACAATAGATGTTCCAACTTTCTATGATTCTGAACATCTGCTGATGAAGACTGTGTGATACGGTCGAAAGCCCTGAAACAGGCGAGTAAGGGGTAACCTTGAGTTGAGATTGTTTAGTCGACTGTTTTCCAAATTCAAGCAAAACTGTCAAACCCAGTGAAAACATAATTTTAGCTCATTTTCTAGCGCCATTAATAAGGGGTAGATCGTGCAAATGTATTTGAGACGTATCAGCATACGTATAAAGATGTGTATTTCACTTGCTGGTGTTTTGTAGACATACATTTTTTCTGTCATTTACTGTATGCGGTATGCATCTCTCAACCACAAATAGAAAAACTCATAAACAAGGGTAAGGAAAGTCAGGAGCAAAACGATTAGCATCTGAACAAACAATTAAAGATATGCGACAGTAACCACCCTCTGAGCTTAGAAAAGCTCTGGCTTTCTGGTTCCTGCCTTTGACACCCATCAGCCAAAACTAACAGATATAAATTCTCTTTTATAACCTCTGCCATTTCCCTGCTCAGTAAAGTAGCATCAGTACCAGACATGCCTGTTTCTCCCTTCTTTTTCTCACTAATATTCTAACTTTTTTTCTTACTTCATGTGTTTGTCTCTATTTATATGTATTTGTGGGTTTGTGGTTTTTTATCTGGTGTGTCTCGCCCTGTGTTGTTTTTACAGCTACAGCAGCAGAACCAATTGCCCCTCTGGGATAAATAAAGTCTTTGAACTTGAATGTGTTTTCTTAAGAAAAGAGTGCTGCGCTCCCTCTCCCCTTGTGACACTTGGGAATTGCCCAGCACAGTCATCTGCTGCCGAGTCCCTTGTTTGTAACTCAGGAGGCCACATGAAGGAACTACGGTACTTCTTAAAAGCGCCTTAAAATGTTCATATTTAGTGTAAGATGAAATTGGCAATTGAGTGTAAAGATGTTTAAAAGACTAGAGTAAGTCATTTAAGGGAGAGACACTCAAGTCATTCAAGAGATACTGAGTTTCTGTAACGGACGTGCAACAAGATTTGTGGAGTGATTGAGGTAGTTTTTAAAGAACTTTATCCCTAAAACATTACTCATTTGCCAGAACTGAGACCTGATTCTGCATTCTCATCTTTTAAGTTTAAGGTTAGGATTTAAGGTAGCCTTCCTTGCTATATGTATTGAAAACAATGTATAGATTTTTTTGTCAAACAATAATTAAAACACAGTAAACATGATACATGCATTCAGTATCGTTCTGTTCATTTCTACACATTGTGTGTGATGAGTAACATGTAGGAGAATGGGTAGTTGTGACCTCAGAGCAATTGAGAACGGGAAGTCGTAAAGCCACTTCACTTGACTGTTTGACCTACTCACAGAACAGCCACGAACTGTTCTCAGTGCCAAAAAACAAGTCTTCTCATATCCAAGAGCATCCTGTGGGCCACAAGCCTCCAAAATATACAGCACAACTCCCTGAGTGTTTATTTACAACCACTGCAATATTTGACAAGTTGGGAGTGAAAACAAGTTGCAAGGGACAGATGTCCTAAATCCCAAACGTTACATATACTTCTTATCAAGTTATTATATTAAAGGTCCAGTATGCATCCTTTAACAGCATCTATCAGGCCTTGAACTTCAAAAATTTTACGTTAGGGATGTTAGCAGAGCAATTGTTGTAGATAAAAATGTTCTATTAAACATAGTCTTCAAAGGCACCCCAGGGATGGTGAAACATGCCCTTTCTTGTCAGGATGCAGATATTCAACATGCTCACTCCTATAAGACTTTACTGGATACCGCCCTTGGGCCAGGCCTAATGCCTGGATTCCTGCCAGATCATTCTCTGCAAGCAAATACTTACAGGTCCATCAACTTCTTTTTTTTTTCTTCCTGTAACTGCTTCAATAGGGAAAGTCCAAGAGAATAAACACTGCAGACAGATAAGACAAAACATATTGGAAAAAATCCAGGATGTGATTTACAAGAAAATGGATCTTGCTCTGTAAATGTTTCTTTACAAACATACAGCATCTGACTGAACAAACAGTTTAACAATTGCACCTGATGATGCAATAAGTCAGTGAAGGTAATCCGATAGTGAACCAATTAAATATTAGTAGGTTAGTTTTATGTCAACATAAAGAGACCACAGCACAACTGTTACCAACTTCCTCAATACAGTAAGTGGGGAAGAGAAAGTTGCTCTTTACAGACACTTGATGTCACAGATGAAGTAGTATCAGTTCAGTGAAAACCACATTTTTCCAGAGAGGTGTCACTCTTCCACATTTGAATAAATAGGCAAGGAAGTACAATAAACCTGCGTAATAATAAATAAGTGTTTTTCTCACTTTGGCTTAACTTGTCTCGTCTTATCTTGAAGCTTAGGGCCACTAACCAACTGCAATATTTCAAGTTACAACGTGTTGACTACTTTCACTGAAATTGTCATTGTCAAAAAACTACTTGATGACAGTGACAATGATGATAATACTTACTATTGTCAGATCAAGCCTGAAAATGTTCTTGCATCGCAGCATCTCCATTTGCAGCATCACAGAAAAGACATAAACAAGGAACACAAATACATCGGCCCACATTTAACATAAAAACACAGAAGATTCAAGGTCCTTCAACATGCATTTGATCTGGGATCAAGGTCCATATTTTAGCACAAAGTTATTCTTCAGTCTATTCTTGCTTAATTGTGGAACGCTGTATCTCTTGTTTGATGGTTTACAATTTGGATTCAATGTTGAAAAGTTGGCGGTTTGGAGCATGAGGGGCACTGATGTATGCATGAAGTATGTGTCTCAGCTTTCCAATCAGTCCCTTTATTTCTTTTTTGTCCAAAACTTCATGGGATTAGCATTAAGTGTCCAATGTATGCAAAGGGAAGACTTGTGGGTACCCATAGAACCCATTTTCATTCAATTCAGATACTGTATCTTAAGGTCAGAGGTCAAGGGATCCCTTTGAAAATGGCTATTTAGCTACAGCCTCCCAAAGACAGTGGTGCAAAGTGGAAGAGGTAAGGATAATGGGGTGGTACATGGGGTGGCCATTCAGATTTCAGGGGTGGTCAGAGCCACCCAAGGCTCTGGACACCA